CTTCTTCTTCTTCTTCTTCTTCTTCTTCTTCTTCTTCTTCTTCTTCTCTTCAAATTCAAAACTTTGGATTAGCAAAGCCAACATTTAATTTAAAGTCTCTAAAATGGGACTGCTCAGATTTTGGTGCATCCTTAAAAAGGAATCTGAGAATATTACATTCTTATTGCTGACTCTAGAATGTTAGAATTTAAATATGACCCAAAATAAAACTATTGTGGTTGGTGATACAGATGATCATATATTGGGTTTTACTTCTACTCTAACCACCATTTTGTGTTATCCGGAATCTTACAATTAAAACTTCATTTTTTTTCCCTAGCTTTTCACCTTAGAGGACAATCTGTTTAATTTTTAAATTTAATGATACATAGTTTGGCACATAACTGCACAAAATGAATTTCTATGTATATGTTAAACTTACATTTATATAAAGTTATGATAACTAGAATAACTTATTTAGAAACCATAAATAGATGGTGTCCCTTTCTGGTTCAACCTACAAGGGCACCTTTCATTCTTTTCTAACTACAGTTTAACTTTGAAAAAAATAATGAAAATGAATTTCATCCACTTTTCCCTTAATCACTGAACTCTCATTCCTGCCTTTAGAGTCAAAAGGAGTGGAAGGAAGACTTTATCTTGAAGTTTATCGTAGGGGAATCCTGAGGTCTTTCATGATGAAGTGTGCAGTACAAGAGTGGCTCAGAATAACTTCGTTGCTATTCATTGCTAATGCCATCCCAGCAATGGTTGTCCCCAATGCAACAGTTCTGGAGAAACTTTTGGAAAAGTACATGGACGAGGATGGTGAGTGGTGGATCGCCAAGCAAAGAGGGAAAAGGGCCATCACAGACAATGATATGCAGAGTATCTTGGACCTTCATAATAAGTTAAGAAGTCAGGTATATCCACCAGCTTCTAATATGGAATATATGGTAAGGACATATTGTGAGTGGTTTTCACAGAGAAATTGTTCATTGATGCTTTCTTTCAGCACCACAGTTAAATATCCTAGTGTTACTTCCTAATTTTACCTGCTTTGTAAGAAGTATGAAAGCCTTTCTATGGTAAACTCTCAGTTTTTTTTTTATATTAACTTTTGATAGGATTTTTGTCATTTGTACTAACTCCTTAAATTTCAAAATGAATGAGGTAAGTTTTATCTGGCTAAATTATGTGAATCTTTTGTATCTGAAGCCACTGAACATCTGGCCTATTTTCTGTTTTACTGACCCAGTTGAGAGGCATTTTTCCCTAAGACTTTAAAGTAACTAGAACATCTGAAAATGTTAGGGCCCTGTAATAGGGATATATATGCATACATACATACAAATATATAACATATATATATATATACTCAAATATACATATATAAATATGTGTATATATATACATACATATTTCTAGATATAGGTCACTAATATGAATCTCTAATAGATCATAAGGAATATTTATCTAGAAATGTGTCACATTGATGTATCTATCTATAGATAGATTGCTATAGCAATTTTGTTACAGAACAGCAAATATTTGTTTTGTGAGAACACTTCAAGTAAAGCATCAAATACAGAATCAGGCATTGAAGGCTAATTTCTTTTTCTTCCCCTACAAGTATTTAACCCATTTTTAGAGCAAAATAAGAAAGATTAGGAAACAGATTTAACTCTGTAAACCCATGAGGGTACCTGTAAGTAAAGAAACTGCTTGGTACCCTAGTGACTTTGAACATTAGGCACTTTCTGAAAATATTATTAGCTAGAGGATAGTGTGAGATTAGATAAGTTTAATAAGTTTTAATTAGTGATAACAAGGCTTAATTTGCACCTGGTTTCAGTGAACTTTCAAGATGTGTACATTTCTAATTCAAAATCATAGCACAGTAGGTTAGGTTTAGATGACCTTTTTTAAGGTCTGAAGTTGAAAGTATTTAAAGTCATTTGCAATCATCCTAAAGTGACCTCAGAACTAACTTTGATGAACTCTTAGGATTCAAATATTAATTTAACCAGCTATGAAGTAAGGTGTCTTTTTATTTAAAACATTTTCTTAAAAAAAGACTCAGTCAAGAACACCAAACTATGTTATCTATTTTAATGTATTGAAAACAAAAGCCAATTTTTAAAAATTCTTTATGGATAGTATGTATTACCTCAATCTTTTGCTTATTTGGTAAATCTTAAAATACACCATTTATTTTGTGTTTTATTGTACAATGCCAAGAATGAACTTCTAAGTGGAAAGAAAAACAGGAATATTCTTTGACTCATACCATATATGCTTCTGGAAATCTGAAGAATCAGTTGCTTTCTAATGGAAAGAAGATTGTGGAAGGTGGGGAGGGTTGAGGAAGATAAATTTACAAAGACGATCCCAGAAATCTCAATACAGGTTGCAATTTTTTGTTGCAGAAACATACAGAATTTACATGAGAGTATTTCTTTCTGTGCATATGTATGTATGTGTGTGTTATAGCAAACTTTCAAAATTAACAAATGTCTATTGTAGGAAGTCTGGTATAAGAAGTTTATATGCCCTCCTTTTTTAGTTTCACTGGTTTCATCCTAGCCTTGAAATGGAGATCCAGAAACCAGACAGGATTTATGTTGTGTTGCCCCTAGATACTATTAGGTCTGGAACCATGACTTGGCCTTTAGCTTGACTACAGAGGAGTTCATTGGCAAAGTAGAGACCAGGTTTTAATACTGTAATATGTTTTCCAGACTACAAAGTTAAGGAAAATTCTGACAGCACTTGTGCTTCTGTTTTGAGATACTTTGGATTAATACTAAATAAGTTTATAACCACAGGGGTTGATCCACTGTGAACATATTTTTTTCCTTAGATAGGTACTTAATAACTCATTTACTTAAAAGTAGGTTAAATGATGATTCCATTTTTAAAATCTAGTGTAATATACTTAATATTTATTTTTGCCACCTTGTGACCTACTTTTAACTGGTGGATGACTACTATCATTCTCAAAATATCACTTATTTTAGACAAATTTAGGCTCTTAAATGCATTGATAGTCAAGATAGACCTGAACTCACTAGCAGTGACTTGAAATCCAATTAGCAACACTATGTATTGAGAAAAATGGACAATTATTTACTGTTCTTAAAAGTCTGTAGCATAATTGGAAAGACTAGACAAGCACACATGTAAAAGATGTCAGAAACTTTGGATGTTTTTTCAAACTACACGTAAACTAAAGGGATATAGAATAACAGAATGAATAACCCACATAATCAGAAAAGGTTTTCTAGAGGAGATGGGTTTTAGTTTGGGTTTTGAATGAAGAGATGCCAGATGGTTAGGGAGGAATTGAAGGAAACTGAATAAATGAGTCATAAATGAGCATGTATTTTGTAGGGCACAGCAAATAAGTTGTCTTGGTTGGATCAGAGCATTCCATGACAAGAATATTAAGATAAAAGATAGAGTCCTAGGGCTATATTTATGATGGATGCTCTGGAACCACTGTTGAATGTTGAATGTCATGATCTACCTGAGGAAGAAAATTCTTGAAAGAATATGTAGAATGGAAGGCATGGAGAGAGATTAGAACAGTTAGTCTGTCTCAGTGGTTTTTGCTAGAATCCAGAAATGAGGTGATGTTGGCTTAGACTAAGGAAGTTACCATGGTATTGAATAGAAAAAGATATTTTGTGGGGAAAGAATTGGCAGTACATTGCATGCAGATGACAGATAAGAGAGAGATATTAAAATGATTTTAAAAGTTATGAACTTGGATGATGGAGATGATAATGGTGTTGTAGATAGTAAAATAAACCATTTCAGTTTGGACTTGTTTTGTGGGTTCATGGAGTTAAGGTATAAGTTGTTAACCTATAATTAAGTAGAGATAATAAGCTTACATTCTACAAATAGTCATTGAAAGAAATTTGTGAGTTCCGATTTTAACACTGAATTTCTAAGTTCTCCTTCGCCTATTCCCTGCTTCCTTACCAAGAATCAAAGCAATCATAGGTCATAGATTTGTTACAGTTCAGATAATGGGATAGACCTGAATCTAAAAATAAACATTATCAAATTATGCCAGGTGTATTAATGTAGACTATTGCCACTGACAGTTCTATTTATCTATCCATCACTTCTAAAACCCTAGTGCCAGCCTCCCACCTGGGAAAGATATTGACTGGCACATATTCCACTGTCCCTTTCTTTTATGGCAGACCTGAAGGAAATGGGTTAGAATTTTGGCATACCACTTTTCAAGGATATACAGGCCTCTGATTCCCAATCCACCATTCTTTTTACTAGTTAACTTTCTATTGTAATCCAAACAGCCAGTCGTGTATAAATATTTGTTGAATTGAATTGAATTCAGCCCAGGGCTCATGTTGATAGATGTGATGGCTCAGTTAGAACTTGAGTGTTTCCAAGTTACTGTGGGGATCATTTCCTTCTTATGCTTCACAACTCACCAAGCAATCCTAGAAGCTTAGGGATGGCACAGGGTAGTGAGCTGACCTTGGTGTGTGCCAGTGTGGGCAGTATCCTGCCTCTGGCTCAATATGGCATCTGCCCAAACTTATGAAAATTTAGCCTGTGAGTTACCCTGTTTCCTCTCATCAATTCAATCCCTTTTGACACTGTTTTTCATTGGTGTGTTTCCCCTGCAGGATAAAAACAAAAAGAGATTATTAAATCATGCCTAGTTAATTTAGATTTCAGAATTTTATTCTTCACTGATTAAAATCTGCAGAATATTTCATTGAATTTTTTAAATAGATTTTTCAGGTTTTTATGGTTTTCCTAACATATTTTGGCACATATCCTGTGGTTTTCAGGAATGAAATATTTGTCTCCCATTGAGGTTTAATATAATATAGATATAGATATCAATCTAACAAGTCAAAATAATGTTTCTTAATTCAGCTAAACGTTTGCTGGATGTCTACTATATGAAAGGCACTGTGCTCTAAGTAGTAGCTATTTTCTTCACTAGTCAGAAAATGTCATTATTTAAATGGAAGCTAATTTGCTTAGTTTTTCTTTTAAGTTGTCACTTTGTTATCAGTTGTTTAGTAGTAATAGAGGTATAGGTCCTTAAAAAAATAAACCTGTTGAAACAGGATTTAAAACTCTGAAGAACTGCTAAAGTAGTACAGGGAATTCATTTTATGGAACTTGAGGACTTTAAGGAATTTTCAGATTATATTAAATAGTAAAGTAGATGGTAGCACATGGTTGGCAAAGTTGTGTGATTATAGTACAGTTCTGTTAGAAATCATAAAACCCTAAACAGTGGAATGAATAGGACCAAAGCTAAGTTCCAGTTATTTTAAGTGGTAGGCAATGATTGCTAGAAAATGGGAGAGATTCCTGTGGTATGGACTGGAAAAGGACAGGAAAGAAGCTACAATGATACAGGAGAAATCCAGGAGTGAGAAACATGTAAAAAATCTAAAAATGTTTTGAAAGTAGTCCCATTGCTAGGATGTTAGCATGCCACAAAGAGGTCCATGATCTTAAGCTTTCTCATAAAAATATTCTTAATTAATTTGGTCTAGGAAATTTCCCAAAGGAATATATCAGTATTTTTTTAAATGGCAGTTGAAGGGAAAATAGGATTTGCTTTGAAATAATTTACTTCACATTTAGCTTTACTAAAATCAACTAGTCCATAAAGCAAGGAATATTTTTAGCTCTAGTTAAAATCATAATGAGAGGAAGCATGTCTTACTGGTTAGAGGACTAGAATTGAAGTCAAGGACACATTAGAGTGCTGCATCTGATAAATACTACCTGTGAAACCCTGGGCAGGTCAATTAACCTTTGTGTTCCAGGCAACTCCCTAACACTAAATTATAGACAAGTTACATAACCACATCTGTGGAGGGAGTTTCCTACCCTTGTCAAATTATTTGGACCTCCCACTCCTCAAGAAAAAATTAACAATGACAAATTC